AGGCTACCGACTGGCAAATGGGTAGTTGGAATCCCTTTCCTCTCCAGAGCTCAAACACAAACCTGTCATGCCTAAATATACTCAGAATCTTGCTCTGCTAATTAATGCCTACCCATCATCACGACAGCATAATTGTGCATGTATGAAGTAATACAGCCTAACAAATTATCATCCCACCCTTCCCCAAGCTCTCAGCATGAGGCATTATCTGGTCATAAGCAGCTTCTGTACCAAACGTTGCAAAATTTCTTACCAGGACATCTGTCAGATAATCTACACTGTAGTTCTCGCCATGCCTTCGTGCTTTGCCATTTACTGAGAGAGTATAGTTGTAGTACTTTGAATTTTTCTCCTGTGGAAAAGAAAAGTTATATAGATCTTTATACAAAACAACATGTACATTGATCACTTGAAGTAATTGAAGTGAGCTGCCCACAAGCATTTGTCAAAAAGGTTGTGAGCATTTGCCATAAGGATACTGCAAGAATTCTCAGAAGTTTCTAACATCAAAACTTATTTTGGTGCTATCTCACACTGCTTTGGCTTTACAAACCAGAGTTTTCAACCAGGCACTCAGTAGGAGTAGCCTTTGTGAAAGCCAAGGATCTGATGTGCAACAGAAGAAAAAAGGGAAGAAAATTTGCATTGTTAGATGCTCTTTGCCTGCTCTTTCATGATCAGCAAAGTTAGAATTCAACTAGGATTACAAAACCAAATTGGATTACAAGCAAAATTAAGTATTAAAAAAAGAAAAAAAAAAGGCACATACCAAAGCATACCAAAAACTCCATCCAGGAGGGACGTGACCTACTCCCCCTGCATCCTCTGCTCCGTACTGCAAGAAGACAGACCATGACTCACAGTTTCAATTAGGATGAATAAAAGCTAGAAATTATGTTTCATATTCATGTGCTTTATTCAACACTAGTCAGAAACCATGTTAGGACAAACCCAATTTCAGAATGGGGAAAAACAAGTATATACACATATAAAAACACATGTAGAGCCAGTTAAAGAAACTAGGGTTCAATAACTAGAAAGACAGTAACTGAAAGCTTGGTAATCACAAAAAAATTTAAGTGTTATTCCCTTCTCTATTTTCTTGTGAAAATATGCACAAATCCTGGAGAACACATGGTACGCCATCAGGTAATGAGAAGTGATCAAAACATCTACATGACAATCTTAGGCTTTGTGACAACAGTTCATAAGATACTAGAGAAAATTTCATGTAGACCAACAGCTTCCTTCACTCTCCACAAATGGGGGCATAGCCTCTTATCACCTCAGTGCCAAATAATCTACAACAAGCAGCCTTTAAGACAGCAAAAAAGGGAAAGTAGCTGCTGAGTCAGTGCCAAACTCAAAACAGAGGGTGCCTCAGAGCAACACAACGGGTTTTCTCAGGGCTGCCCCCTCCCATCTTCATGGCTTGCCTAACTGCAAGGATGGGAGACTGCTGAGTCAAGGGATGCTCAGAGGAAGACAGTTAAAAGTTTCCCTTCCCCTTGCTGCCTCAGGAACATCAGCAGAAACAAATTCGTGCATTGCTATGAAAATTCACGTTCCATTATTCTATTATACCACCAGCATTTTCCACCAAGAGATGCAAGGAAAATAATGCTGTTAAGAACCCTGTAACTCATCTAGCTTCAAATCCAATTCCATCACACAAGAGGAATACCTAATTTTAGAGCTTTCAGTGCTGAATTTTACATCTTACCATAAACTACTAGAAACCATAGGCTAGTTAAAAAGAGAAAAAAACAAAAGCACACACATAAAAGTGATTTAATGGTAAAGTGTTGGGTAACTGCTGTAAAGAGCTCTGAAAATATCTGTTCTCCCAATGAATTTACCTTAGTGGACACTTAATTTTTAAAATATCATATTGACTGCTAAAAAAAAATAGTCCTCTGATGGAAGAGGATATGTCAGTCAGGAATACTGAGACAAATCAATTTTTTAAATGTTATTCTAACATCATGCATGGTCTGGCATTGGTTTGATGGGTTCTTCAGTACCACAGGCCAATCATCTATCCATTTCCTCCAGTCATTAAAATCATCATCTCTAAAAATTAACACATTTGAACGTACTAAAAAAAAGCTTTTGGATTCCATCATTCTTTCAAAATCAACTTTAAAAACATTCTGATACAGAATGATACAGAACCTGAATTTAACCAAATTAGAGATCTGAACTTTACATCATATTTATCTCATCTGAGCAAAGGGAAGCATTCATCCAAGTTACGTCATATTATACATTTTGGGGACCCAGCAAATAGAAAAATCACGGAATGTTTTAGAAAGATATACAAATGCAAATAAACTGTAACATTAAAAAAAAAAGGCACAAAATACCTCATTTAAATACTTCCCAGCAAAGAAAGTTTGATAACCACACATAGATTTGAGCAGCGCTGGGAAGGTGTATGGTTCTTGAATCTTCTGCCATAACTTGCTGCTACAGTTCCCTTCCAGAGTGTTATTAACGACATGATGATTATGTGGATATTTTCCTGTTAAAATGCTAGCTCGACTGGGACAGCAAAGTGCACTGGGAACATACTGGAAAAACAGAATGAAGACAGATAAGACTGGCATAGTAGAACAATTTTATCTCAAAATTTGTAGTTTTTAAATATCAGCTAACAGGTTGATTAAAATGTTCATCAACATTAAAACCTACTTCTTTCTGGACAGACAGAATTACGTTCCGAGTATTTTCACTAATGCAAAGCTACACATGAAACCAGTTTCAGGTCTGCAGTACATGCCCTTCAGCCCCTCAATGCAAGATTAGATGTGGTTCTTACACAGGAACAATTGCCCATTGACTCACTCCACTATTTTAGCCATGGAGATATACTAGAATATGAAAAGAGTGAAACAGATTTTCATCATGCATGAAGCTGATGAAAGTTTCAAGCAGCTACTTTTAATGCTTCTCAGTTTGTAATAAAAATATTCAGACTACATGGCTTTACAGTTAAAGGAAGTTAGCACAAGTGTTTTCAGGAAGTGAAACTTTCCTTCACAGATTTTAACATGGCCTTAAGTTATATTCATTCGGAGACCTAAAAGTAGTTAGAGATTGAATTTAAAAACCCCTACAACCACAGGTACAGGCTTCATAAAACTATTACCAGCTTTGAGACCTCAGATGACCTGAGATACAGAGTACACAAATGCATGCAACCTCAGAAGCTCAGAGAGTTAATGCAAACACTTACTGCATTTAGGAAGGTTATTCCCATCTGTGCAATGAGAGCATTAGTCTTCTTTAGGGGAGTCTGGAAGAAAAATACCCAAAGGGTGTCAGCTAAAAAGGCAAGGATGCCAGGTAGAGCAGGGGACTTGAAGCAGACTACGCAAAAGAAGTCCCACCATCAGAGTTTTCAGGCACCACGCAGGAAAGACACTAAGTGTCCTTTCCTTCTTGCCGGGGCCTGGAGCGGCCACGGCGGTTGCGCAAGGTGGGCCCAAGGGAGCAGAGGTGCGGGGAGTTTCCAGGGGTACTCGCAGCGGCTGCACTGGAGACGCCCCAGCCCGATCGAGCTCCAATGGCTCTGCAGAGCAGCTCATCCCACCCGTGGAAGCCCCACCGTGGCGCTCCTTCAGCAGGGCAGTTCGGCCCGAGGCCGCGGGAGCCCATGCCCGAGTTCGGGCCGGGCCCAGCCCAGCCCACCGCCCCTCGCGGCCACAGCGACCCCGGCCCCACGCCCTGCCCTGCCCAGCCCCCGAGCCCGGTCCCGCCGGCCGACAGCCCCGTATGCGCCTCGGCGGCCGGGCGGCGAGTCCCCCTCTCTCTCGCCGCGCTGCCGCCGGCCCCGCGCCCGCCGCGGCGGGGTTACCATGCCGCCCAGGCAGACATCCTGGTCATCGGTGAGGATGAGCACCACGTTGGGCCTCCGCGCCTGCTGGGCTGCCCGCGCCGGGCTCAGCACCAGCAGCGCGGCCAGCGCCAGCCCCCGGAGCAGCGCGGCAGGGGCCATAGCGCGGTGGACGGGCGGGCGGAGGGACGGGACAAGGGGGTCGGTGCCTCTCGGCGCCGCCGCCGGTCCCGGAGCAGCAGCGCGCGGGCCCGCCCCGCCCGCGGCATATGACCCAGGAGCGCGAGGGGGGGCGGCGTCACGTGGCCCGGGGACAGCCCCGGCCCCGCCCCGTCGGGCTCGGCCCCGGCCTGGACTGCGCGGGGGCCTTTTCCATCTGGGACCTTCGCGCTCCACTGCAGGGATGTGTGTACATGTCTATAGAGCGGGTGCCAGGGGGATGGAGCCAGGCTCTTCTCGGTGCTGCCAGGCAATAGGACAAGCGGCAACGGGCAGAAACTGATGCACAGGAAGTGCCACCTGAGTACGAGGAAGAACTTCTTTACTGTGCGCGCACTGGAACAGGTTGCCCAGAGAGGTTATGGAGTCTCCCTCACTGGAGATACTCCAAAACCGCCTAGACGCATTCCCGTGCCGTGTGCCCTGTTTGAGCAGGGAAGTTGGACCATTTGATCCACTGTGGTCCCTTCTAACCTGACCCATTCTGTGATTCTGTGAATTTCTGACCTGAATTATCGCGGCTGCCCCGCCTGTGGCCGGCCGGCCCGCCTGTAGCGCCATCGGTGCCCAGCGAGCCTAGGCGGAGCCGTGAGGATCCCGCCATGCGCTCTGGGCCGCGGGCTGTGCTACAGGGACCGGCCGCAGCCCAGGTACTGAATTGCCGCAGAACCAGGCCGCCGCTCCAGCTGGGAGCAGGAGCAGGACGACGGGCAGGACGATGGTGCCCGGGTACCGCGCCCAGTGTCACCGCCCCGAGGCGGGGCGAGGTCACTTGCTCCCCCACCCCTCCGCAGGTGCAGCGCCCTCCTCTCCCCGCAGTGTGTGCCCGCGGTGCGCGGGGAGGGGGCGGAGCCGGGCGCGGCGCTCCTGCGGGCGGGGGAGCGTCCCACCCGCCTGGGCTTTCCTGTCCGCCCCTCTTTCCCCTGCCCGCCCCACTCCGGCGTGTCGCTGTGGAACTGGCCGGGCCCGTAACCTGGCGGCGGTGTGGAAGATGGATGCAGGGGAGGCCGGCGCGGGTGGCAGGGCGGGGAGCAGCGCCGACAGCCTGGCCGAGGAAGAGGAGGAGGAGGACGACGAGGGGGGTCCCGGCAGCGGGCGGTCCAGCCGCACCTCGTCGCTGGTGAGCGGGCTGCTCACCGAGCTGTACAGCGCCGCTGAGGCGGCCGCCCCTTCGGGCAGCGCCCGCTCCCGCGCCCTCCGTGAGCTGCAGCAGCGGCCGAGCCAGGTCAAGTACCTGCGGCTGAAAGGTACAGCCCGCCCCGCCTGCCCTGCGCTGCGCTGCCGGGGCTGGGAGCTGCCCCTGCCGCCTCGCTTTCCCTCTGTGCCTGCTCGGAAGTCCTGACCAAGGGTGCCCTCCGCTCGCTATAGCAGCCTTTCTGCATGGCCATGGCTCCCAGAAGCTTCCCGTGCGGTGTTAGCTGAGAGCTCCTTCAGACCAGGGCCTCCCGTGCTGTTCCTTCCTCCTTTGTTCCAGGTGCTGTAGGAGCAAAAATGAGGTCACCTGCTATTAATTTCTGTGACAGATTGCACTAGCTTTTGTGTTTCTGCGAGTTCAGTGCTTTTCCTCACAGTAATGAATCAGTGACCAAGTTTCATTTCTTTCCTTTTTTTTTCTCAGTCTAGCAGACATGCTAGGCATACGGTGTCATAAGAGGTAGTTGTTTTTTCAGGTCCTTTTAGTTCTAGTGAACCTAAACTAAACCAGTCAGTTGTAAGGCTTATTTGCAGGTTGGCATGTCTTCCAGAAAAGAAATAAGTGTAATAAAAGGTGTAAATGCTATAGTCAATTAACCAAAATCTAAAAGAAATTTTCAAAGAATTCTCCTGAAAGCTAAGGAACCTCAACAGGGCATGTTTTTGAAGGAATAAGACTTGCAACTCCAAGTTGATCAGATGAAGAGGGCGGCACAAAGGCCTCTTGTCTCCTGATGTTTAATCATTCCTGCTTTTGATGAGGAGGAAAAAAAAGAAGAGGTGAATAAACGCACCTGTTTTTCAGACCTGTGCAAACAGCTGTCTGCTTCCGTGTTTGGCTTCTTAGTGAGATGAGACACCATCTGATGTTACTAGGACGTAGCTCACGTTCTTCTGTGTGTCCTATAGCAACTTGGGACTCAAAAACCCCTTGCTTGTTGAGGAATATATTTTGTAGTATTTCAACTCATTACTTTTGCTGCAAAGTTAATTGTTTTTACAGGGACAACTAACTGGCATGAGTGAGAAAGAAGAAAACTCAGCTCCCTGCTTGTGTGGTGACTGTAGAAATCAATAGGAGTGCAAATTAATTTTTTTGCTCTCAAAATCCATGAATTTATTTTTAAATCCCCTTGCCTGGTACAAGCGATTGGGAGTTTCAGCTGAGCAGCAGGTGCTGAAACAGGGTAGTGTCTATAAAATACAGGTGTGGTTTACCAGTGGTTCCGCTCCCCTTGCAGTCATACTTTGCTCTTCACTAGCCCATGATTGATGGTCATTTCAGCCTAATTTGTCCTTTTCTTTAAACTCTCCAGAATTACTGAAAAAGTTTTACCACATGAGCTGAGCCGTTTACCATCCCACTAATAGTAGGTTTTTCTGGGTGCATAAATATTTTTCTCATTAGATCAGGTTACCAAAGTATGGATTTCTTGCACTGATTTTCCTTCTAGCATCAGGGGAGCATGGTTGCATTGAAAGTGATAGGATTTGAAAACTTAGCTGCAGGGAGCACACCTCTGTGTAGATGCTGGTGACAAGCTGTGCCAGGCTATTACAGGGGAGAGCTGAAGAGGTCAGTGTGTGATAGGCAAGATCCAGGATTTCACTGGTGGGGTGAGCCTCTGAGAACAGAGCAGAGGACGCAGAAAAATAAATGGACTTAAGATCTCTTCCCAACAGCTCCCTCTTCTGGACCTGAAGCATGTCACGTAGGGGGCAACAGGAATATCAGAAGTAAGCTGAGACATTTTGGTGAACTAAGAGGCGTCTGGTGACTCTGTGACTGACCAGTGGAAATAGCTGAGGCCTGGACTGAAGCTGTCCAGTTGTGTCTTAGTGTGGATTCCCACTTTGCCCTCATTCTGGACTTGAATTTGTAGCTTTGCAGGCAGCTTCTTGAATGTGTTCCTTTGTTACAAATGCACATCTTCCCCATGCACAGGCAGCTTTTTGAAGATACTGTATTTAAAATTTACCCCCCTGTTGCACTATTGTTGGATATTCTGGCTACATCTGTCACAATTCTATGAATTTATAATAGCATAATTATTAAGATTCATATGCTGTGCAATAAATGGAAGTACTTTAGATTAAAAGAAAATTAAAGACTTTGGCTCAGATCCTGAAAATATTTATAATTGGGAATTACCCCAGTCAGTAGAACTTGTAATTTATAGAAAGCTTGTATATAAATGTCCATGGGGCACGTCTCTTTGTACGTCAGCTACAATGGGCTGTTTGTAAGTGTTTTGGCCTGTACTGAAGTTGTTTTCTCTGTTTGTTGGCAGATGTTGATGAATTAACAACTATAAAGCAAGAACTGAATTACAGAATTTCTATTCAATCAGCAAAGTTGCTTCGTCTTCTGAAGCAGAAAGACAGGCTTGTACAAAAAGTCCAGAAGAATTGCGACATTGTTACAGCTTGTTTGCAGGCGGTTTCCCAGAAACGGTGTAAGTACTTTCTGTGCGCTAGTGTAAGTAGTTTATTTCATTAACATGGGCAGTATTTCATTCAAGCCTTCACACTTCATTTAAAGTCAGGAGGCCAGGCTGTGCTATTTCTTAGATATGACTGGCTCTTAGTGATGTCAGTGGCACCTGGAAACAGTCAAAGTTCAACTACCTCGGCTGGGTAAGCTGCCATAGCCTCAGCTGTGTGTAGTGCTGTGGCACCCTCACTGCAGGTTGTCTGCCAGGCTTTTTCAGCTTTAATTAAACAGACAACCTGAGCTGAATTTGTTTGATGTGCTTGCTGTGTGGAGCTGTCTGCTTTCATAGTGTTATAAGGGAGATCCTAGAAATAGAAATTATTCTCACTGGCAGCTATAGACAGCATATAGAATTGTCTTCCCAGAGCATTGTTAATAGCGTGTAACTCATTTCTGTCAGGTTGATCAAAGACGAGGAGTATTAATAAAAACAAGCCTACTTCCCTCAAACCCCTTTATCAGTACCAGTGTTTTGGGAGGTTCTGTGAGAGTGCATGGGAAAGAGGAAAGAAGTTATTCTTTAATTGTTTAGCCTTTTTTTCCAGAACAGTGAAACCTTTTTATTTGACTTGGCAAAGTTGTCATCTTATGATAGGCTGAAGTGCTTTCGATAGTTCTGCTAAAGTAAAACTGCATGTAATGTTGTGTGTAAAAATAAATAGGAATTATGCCTTTAGAAAGGACATGTGAAAATAACCTAATATTCCCTGTCTTATTTTTTCATTAACATGCAGCGTGACAGGTACAGAAATGTTCAGGTACAGTAAACAAAGCATGGTCTTTTCATAAAAATGTCTGCAGAAGCTTTGAGATGCATGTAAAAATTCCGTTAAAAGAATTTTACTGTAGTGGCATGTGCTAATGTATTTTAGTTAAGGGCTTGTCTGTTAATGTGAAACTTCACTTTTAAGCATTTAAAAGTGTTCTTTTGTTTTACTTAAACCTGGCACGTAAGTTCTTGGCTATCATATGCTATGTAGGCATATTTCTTCTTCTCGAAAACTTTTTTTTATTAACATCAGCTTGATAACCAAGTCCTCAGTGCCATTAGCATGTAAGCATATACTGTAGTCTCCTTTTAAATGAGACTTCTTGAATTTTGTATATGTTTCAAGTATTTAGAGGGTTTGATTGTAGGTTCTGGGGGTCTGAGCCTCATTTGTTAGGTAAAAAGATGTTACTGAAAGGGATATGGATTTCATGCTAAATATGAATGTGATTTTGCAAGTTTCAGGTACAATTTTACACTGAAATTAATGGGGCATTATGTTTATGGTGTGCTGGTAACGACTGAGCTGAAGTAATGTATTTTATTGCCTAATATCCATGCATATGCATGCAGGTTTTTTAAGACTGTGTAGATTTGCGTATTACATCTCTTTGAGTGATATATTTTAATTATTAATATAGCATATTTACCTAGTGGTTATTTTCAGCTTATATTTCTCAAAAACTGGATGCATGTGTTCCACAGCACCAAAAACTTAGTTTTTTCTTGCCTTAATGTCTAATCCAAAGCCACTGGGATGTGGTGGACAACTTCTGATAACTGCAGTTGCTTTGGAATAGATCAAGACTGTGTTTTTATTGCTCAGTGTAGATGTGCTAACATTCCTGCATTCTCTGTATAATAAGCTTTTGCTGTAGGATGTATAACTTGAAATTTCCTGGTAATTCTGCCTTTGAGGCAATGTTTGATAACAGCTGTCCAAAGGCCAGCACAACTGATCTTCCCTCCAACTGTTTATTCTTGTCTTTGTACTATTTCCTGTGTAGCAGTAGGAACCCCTGTATTGGAATATAATGAGTCAAATTGGAGAGGTGATTGGGTAAACTAATTTCTTTTCTGTAGCAGTTCCCTGTTTCCAGTTTCTTCAGGGGGTGGTGGAAGTGGCTGTACGGGAGAAGTGATTGCTTAGAGTAGCTTGAATATGTAATTACGTTCTAAAGTTACTGCAAAACTTACACTAACAGTGGAAAGATCTATTTTCTCATCTCTTAACCATAAAAACCCCCGAACATTTAATGTGATGGAACATTAAAAATTGCATACCTCCCCCTCTGCCTCAAAATGTAATTTTTCTCTTCACTAAAGCCCATGGAAACTAAATATTCTATAGACTGCCCTCTCACTTTTAAAAATTAAAAGCATTATTAATTTCCTGAAGTTTTCGTTGTTCTAGGTTTTTCTGATGAAGGTAAATACTTGCAGCATAATGTTATGTGCTATAAAGCTTTATAATGTGCTTTCATGTTGAGAATTAACATTATGACATTCTGTAGAAGTGACAAATAAAATTTCTTGAAGTTGCATTATCATTAATTCTAATGTTTCAAAATACAAGTGATTCTTCATCTGATTTATATCGAGTTTCATGGTATGTTTATACTATTGTCACACTGGGAATTTTTTTCTCCCACATAATGAAATCTCTGTGTAGAGTTAGAACTCTAGTTTTCAATTAACCTTAAGTTCACATCCTTATGTTTGAGTGCTACCTTTAGGCAATCTGTACAGACCAATTGCAAACAATACTTTTTCATGAAGTTATGTCAGACCCTTTTTGAATACTTCTTGACAAATTAACTCTTAAGGGTAATTTCAGTTAGTTTGGAAATTACAGGGCTGATAAATTTGATTTTCTGATGAAATGTCTATTGTGCTTTAGTCTGCTTTTACAGAGAGAAAAAAAACAAGTACTGTTTAAAAAACTGTATGCTTAAAATGGTGTTCAGTGTCCGAAAGCCCAGGGTCTGTGAGTTTTACAGCTCACAAAGGAAGGCATCCACTGCTCAGTCATTGACCTCTGCTGGCTCTTGGTCTCTGCTGAGTGCACAGGAGAGGCCTGCCCCCATCTTCCCTCCTGGCAGCTTTGGGAGCCCTTATCTGACTTGCTTGTCCTTCAGACCCACCAATACCCAGCACAGGGCCTGCAGCATTTCAACCCCTGAGTGGATAGAGTAAATGTGGAGGAGCAAGCAGTTGCCAGGAACAACTTCATAACTTATTGTGTTTCTCATTACTCTGTTGACCCTTGTCCCTGGTAGGTGATGTGCATTTTGCATACAAATAGGTATTACCACAGAAGATAAAATTCACTGCAGAGTGAAATGCATTTTGGTCAGATGCATGAATGGCTATGGCTCTGTTGAGGGAGGATAAATTGTTCTGCTGGATATGTGATAAAATCAGTACACTGTGCTGTACTTCTAGTTTGCAAGATATATGACTCACTAGTTCCATTTCAATAATAATTTTTTACCCAAATTTAAATAAAATACTCCAATGAAGAAAATCAGTAAGAGAGAAATCACAGTCATGGACTCATGACAAACATGGCACATGTTTCTCTTACTCTTGTGATTTTGACTTATTTGGAGTAAGAAGATATAAGTTTGTTCTGGAGCACTGTGAACTATTTCAAGTCCACCTTAAAAGCTAAGCAGAGTGCTCTATGTACTTAATTATATCATTTGAGAAAAGCAGAATTCGGTAAAAAAATAAATTCAGGTTTTGCAGTTGTCATCTAAAGAATATGCAAAAGGCATCTCTGTCTTTTATCTCCCTGTATTTTATATAGTGCCAACTTGCCTACATTACTAAATATATTTTGACTGATTGAATTGCAAACCAGATGTTCCTTGAATCACAAAATTTCCTTGCCTGTCATTTTAATTAAAACAAACAAACAAACAAACCCCAACAACCCAAACTAAAAACATGTATTATCTATAAATTATTTAGAATTAAAATAATCCAACTCAATTGTAACTCAGTCTGGCTGGAGGCAAGCAGGAATGCTTAAATCTGATTCAATATAAAATAAACTGAAGCTATAGTAACAGAAAGTTAATTAATATTCTCTTGTATTTTAATGAAGAAATAATTTTAGTAGAAGATTTCCAAAATATATCATTAATTTGGTGCTGTATTGCTATGGTGCTATGTACCTATAATAACTTTAAATAGATTTCATGCCATGTTCAGAAAGACTCCTAGTATTGTCTGTTGTAATACTTGTTTAGAAACTATGATTAAAGTATTATTCTTCTGCTATTTCAGCATAGTGCCCTGTATAGATTTCTCTAAGATAACAATAAGCATTAGCTTTCTAGTTTTTCTTTTCCTCCTCCTGGTTTGATTTAATGCAGAGCCAGTAGAGGGAGACAGAATATTTTATTTTGTGCAGGAATAGGGGTGTATCTCTGGTTTTCATAGGTTGATGGCTTTCATATCCTTTCCTTAAACATGAAGAGAAGTGCTTTACAAATGTAGTCAGGCAAGAATTGAATGAAAAGATTTAGCATCTGGCTGTCAAATAAATGTTATTCACAAAAGAAGTATTAGGTTCCGTATATGAAGTGGTTGAAAAATGGTGACAAATGGATTTTTAATTATAACTGAGATCATTCATTCCCACATGGTTGCGGATGTTATTTAGAAGCTCCTGTCTGAGTGAGCTGAATATTTTGGAGTCCATCTACAGAAATTTAGAAGGTTATGTTTATACTTATTAGCCCTGTTAGTGGTCTCTTTGAGTGCATCTTAATTGCATAGAAAGCCAGCATGAACTGCGCCATCTGGGCACAGATTGGTACCCTGCATGTCCTCGAGGGGTGGACAGTTTTCTGGTAGAAGATTGGACTATGAAGCCTCCTCAACTTCTGAGAATGAATTACTGTCTCTGTAGCATCAACTTTTCTCACAGGCTATGGAACTCAGAGGAAACTGGGAAAGCATTGCCTGCTGTTGTTTGGTTAGGAGAGAACTGGGCAAGGTCACCATGATCACGTCTCTGGAAAAGTGTAACTTAGATATGTTAAAGTACTCACATATCTAGATTAAACTTCTGTTTTCTATCTCATTCCCTTCCTCCATTTAACTGCAGTCCTGTCGCATCTGTGTCTTGTCCTATGTTTTTTTTCCCTTCCAAACTCTTTATTAGCCTTTCTTACTTGACT